AAACTGGACTGTTGTGAACAAACTATAAATCAGTTGAAAAGGACTTGAGTTATCAAATCGATACAAAGCAAAACAAACAACTTACAAAAACAATGAAGACGCAAAGTACCGATCTAAGAGCACTCACGGTATCTTTTTTTCTGTTGACGATGCTCATGTTCCGTTGTCTTCTTATGGAATATACATTTTTCTTATTTGGTTTGATATTCAGGTGTTTGCAGTGACGTCTCGGATTTCATTAACGTTTTAATTGCATCACTATAATTTATACAACAGAGTTATACATATGTAAGTCTCAAATCTATGTCCAGCTTCAAATATGCGTGCTTTCCTCAGATCTGTGTCCTATTCTATATTGCGTTATAGACGTCACAATATCTGTGCGTTCCTCAGATCTGTGTCCTATTCTATATTGCGTCATAGATATGTGTCCTATTCTATATTGGGTCTTATCGCACCGCTGGTAAATTATGACGTTGTGATTGGTTTAACGCCGTCACGTGGTGACCCCCTATGGATCCGTAGGGGGTTAGTAAATTTCATATGGGGTTTATGACGTCACGTCTACTGTTAATGGTGACGTCATCTATTAATGTCGTTGTATTTCATTGTTTTTTTTTCCACAAAACGCAGCAGGAAAAGTCCCGCGTGCGATAAATTCGTTATACGATTCACTACTGACCCCCTACGGACCATAGAGGGTGAGTAAAATATATAGGAGATTCGGCCTTCGGCCTCACCCCCTATGAATTTTACTAACCCTCTATGGATCCGTAGGGGGTCAGTAGCGAACCATATAATATAAGTTATACGGATCCATAGAGGGTTAGTAAAATCCATAGGAGATGAGGCCGAAGGCCGAATCTCCTATGGATTTTATTCACCCTCTATGGTCCGTAGGGAGTCAGTAGTGAACCGTATAACGAATTTCTCTCCCGTGAGACTTTTTCCGCTGCGTTTTGTAGAGAAATAAACAATGAAACACACAACATTAATAGATGACGTCACCATTAACAGTAGACGTGAACCCCCTACGGATCCATAGGGGGTCACCACGTGACGGCGTTAAACCAATCACAACGTGATAATTTACCCGCGGTGCGATAACTTATAATAGACGTCACAAATCTGTCTTCTATAATCTCAAAATCGGTGTCTTTTTCTATGTTGATGTCATGGTATGCACTGTCCTATGTGTTGGCGTCAGAATTATCAAAACGCCTTAGAGGTATTAAGTTTGTTGTCAAAGACTTTAATATTCGAATTATTCCGATATCAGTTAAAGCAATTGAAAAGTTAATTTGTCTTAAACTATTAACAGAGAGGGGCTTCGACAGGGATAAAGAAACCTAGTAATGAGGAGCGAAAAGGGAGTCAGGTGATGGAAACCATTCATCAGTAATACACATTGGGGAGGGGAAAAGGATTCGTTATGGCGGTAAAATAAATTTGTGTATTTTGTATTTTTGTTGTTTTTTGTTAGTTGTTTTGTGTCGATCTAATAGGTCAAGCCAGGCCTTTCCAACTGATCTTCAGTAAGTTTCATGTACTGTGTTGTGTTGTTACACAACTGTACTAGATTATGGTAGGGTTCACCCGGCCGCATTCTGTGCTTGTCCCAAGTCAAGATACAAAACTGTGTCTATTTTTGTGAAAGACACAGATTTGAATAAACAATGAGTGTCATGACGTCACAGGACACAATTTCTGAGGAAAGGACACAGATTTTGGGACTGGAAAACGGGCCCGAGATTTGAGTGCCAAGGCGTCATGGACCAGAGATTTTAGGTCAAACATAGATTTGAATCTTATATATACAATGTATATATTAATAAAAACTGTTACCACAGAGATATATGTCTCGCCTATTTGTTATTTTGATAATGCAAATGTTGAAATTTAAATAGTAATACTTTAACATGTAAGTTATGCAAATATTCAAAGTCAATGAACTATGACTGAAGGTACAGGACTAAACAATCTCCATGGAAATGAGTTGTGCCAATGTTAATACAACTGCAAACCAAATACCATTGTCTTTTCGTAAGTCGTTCCCTTTAGACAAACCTAAACACAAACATTAACTTGTAAACTATGTAAAAGTTTCAAAGTCAATGAACCAATAATTAGGGGTGGGGTTATATAATCTCCATGGAAATGAAACTTGCAAATGCCAATGCATTTGCATACCAAATATCATTGACTTTACATTAGTGGTTCATCTTAAACTGACCTAATCACAAACTAATACATGAAAACTAAGCAAAAGTTTCGAAGTCAATAGACCATGAATGAGGGGGCGGGGCCAAATAATCTCCATGGAAATGAGATATGCCAATGCTTATACAACTGATATCAAATATCATTGTCCTATCACTAGTGGTTCCCCATAAACTGACCTAATCACAAACTAATACATGTAAACTAAGCAAAGTTTCAAAGTCAATAGACCTTTACTGAGGGGCTGAGCCAAATAATCTCCATGGTAATGAGATGTGCCAATGCTAATACAACTGCATACCAAATATCATTGACCTACCACTAGTGGTTCACCATGAACTAGACCTAATCACAAACTAAAACATTGTTGATGACGCCGCCGTCGCCGACGACGAAAACAGCATACCTATGTCTCGCTTATGACTCCGCCAAGGCGAGACAAAAATTGGTAAGAAGTTTTACTAAATGTTATCACAAAAAAAAAGGGATTCATCATGGATATATGATTAAAATTGAGAAAAATATGTATACAAAAAAATCTGCTGTTTAGCTTACCCCTGTTCCATATTAAGTAACGGCAACCACATTCAAAGACATAAAGGTCCAGATCAAATTTTAAACTACAAACTCAAGTTTGATTCAATTTGTTCAGTTAATCAAAAAGGTTATTTTTTTAAACCAGCTAGCAAACGAAGACAGACGCCAAGAAATAGGAAAAACTAATTCTTAAATTAGCGAGCATGCTTCATGTCCTTTTGCCATCAGTGAGCGATTTAAAGGATTTCGTCTACACATAAACAGTCCGATCTAGGGATTTTTTTTTTCTCAAAAATAACACTGGTCCAGGAACAGTTGTTGTATGACTGTCATTTTCAGGACAAAGAAGTCAAATTGTAAAAAGCAAGAGGTGGTTGAGCGGTTCTCAAAGTAGCATTCCTCTAAAGTTCAAATGTATCTCGTCTGGCCTTGCCAAGTCCCTGGTGTTGTTGAGAACCAGTTCCCAGCTTTCCGGCGTCAACAATTTGTAAAAGTTTGTAATTATGTTAGTTTAAAGTGCCCTAATGAAAAGTTAATCATAATTATATGGTATGCATTTGAGTTATCATACACATATCTCATAGAGATTATTTGGCCCTGCACCTTCTGTCATGGTGTATTGACTTTACATGTTTTGCACTGTTTAAATGTTAAAGTATTGCCATTTATATTTCATCATTTGCATTATACTTACTATTGAAACAACATACATGTGATACATATCTCTGTATCAACAGTTTATCCTTAAACAACATTTGCCCTTTCAGAAATTTGATTTGATTTTTTGATTTTTGGTGTTTTAACGCCACTTTTAAGCACCGCTTTTGGGCTATTTCGTGGCGGCCAGTTTTTATTGGTGGAGGAAGCCGTAGTGCCCGGAGAAAACCACTGACCTTCGATAGGAAAACTGACAATCCTAGTCAATTGAGATTGGAGTCGAGTGCACCCCCACGAGCGGGTTTCGAACTCACAACCTCAGTGTTGACTGGCTAGTGATTACAGTAGTAACTACTTAGACCACTCGGCCACCGAGGCCCCTTTCAGAAATTTGAGATGCTGGCATAACTATAGATAGTTCGTGTTTAATTCATTACCAACTTCTTTAGACAAATGATAGAAATGAGACAACATAGAGCTTGTCATAGTCTATGGTATGGGCTTGGTTTTCTTTTTTTTTAGATCTCAACCAATCATCTTTAAGTATTGATCAATGGACTAACAAAGGTGTATTAGAGATCACCATTTATCTTTGTTTGTCCTATATATTGATTGATTGTTGGTTGTTTAACATCCAGTGGCAAACATTTCATGTATGTTCAGGACGATTGTCCTATAGAAATTTAAGAATCATATCATCAAATATACAAATACAACTGCAATTAATTTCCGAATGAAATTTTAAGTTCAAATGAATCCCTGTTGAAAACACAAACTAACACCCCCCCCCCCCCCCCCCCCCCCCCAACTATAAAACACTATGAAAACCTAGCACTAAAATGTGTTATTTTACACTACACAGCATGTGTCAAAATAGAAGTAGACTACTGCTTTTTATTAAGTATAGGGTACCAACATTTAGTCCCTGTTTATAGGCCTTACTGTCTGTTCTGCAAGAACATGAAGAAGTCACAGAAATAATATCCCTGTTTCAAATGCTCAGCACTAAGGAATTTTCAATAAACATTTAACCAACACATTATCTTCCTACCAATATAATATTGATATTTCAAATGGGTAATACTTAAAACAAGTTATTTACAAATGCTTTTTAATTTATTTTTAAAAGCACCAGCTCTTCACTTTTGTTTTAAAATATCACAATTATTTTTCATTGCTTTCAGTAATAAAAATTGTGTAACAAAGCAATGATATCATGTAAACATAAATATTGTGATTCATTAAAAACTTTTTTTACATAATGAATTGCATTCATCTTAGTTTCAAAGGTAGCAATTTGTATACAACTTACAATTTACATACTAAACTTTTAGAGAATATACAGAAAGCAGCACTATTGTTTCAAAATATAAGTGTTATTGAAATGCAAGAATTATGGTAACTAAAAATGAATTACTGTTAATTTAGAAAGTTCCATAATGTTTTCATGCTTTCATTCTTGCAAAAAATCCATCGGATGAACATACTACTGTTTAGAGCTAAAATTTTATATTCATATGCTTTATTTTCAAAATACTGTAGTTAATCTGAAAATGTATGCATCGATCAAAAATCTTATAAATAAATTATCCATAAATTTTTTTTATTAAAACTTACAATAGCAACTAGTATTGTTCTAAATTAAACCTGAAATTACCCTAGCTTGCAGAAATAAATCCTGGCAACAAAGCTTCCATTGGAATAAATATCAATGTTATAAAACTATATGTATTGTACAATAACTTTAAAAATAAAGTCTGTAAATATCCAGGAGATTGATCACATGATACTAGGAACCATCAACTGTTTCATTGTCAACAACTAGGAACCATCAAATGTCAGATTAACTATTGCGATTTCAGGAAAACCTGCATACAGATGAATGTATTAAGATATCTGAATGCGAGTTCTATCTATAGCTATACTCATCCAGTTGCATTATTCGCATTAATAATCAAAGTTGTTTTGTGAGCACTGAAGGGTAAAGATTGCATTCAGTTTACAGTGGAAACTAAAAATTAGACATTGCAATGTAAATTTCTTGAAATTCTCATAGGTAGGATGTATAGAATGTTGTGATCTATGTTTTGTGTATATCAAAAAGTGGTGATAAAATCTGGAAAACTTGTAACTACCAAGCCAGTCACATAAGGGTTTTTTGATTTCATGAATGCAATCTTTACCCCAAAAACCTTGCAAATGTATACAGATCCCTTACAAGGTTTTTGAGAACAGTAATTTCAAATAATCAGACAAGATGCACTCTGTTTGTAATAAACTCGCCTTAGGAAATTTGTTTATCACTTTGGACTACAAGTTTCATTATCAAATACAATAGACAACCAAGAAATCATATACAAGTACTGAAAATGACATCAAAATTATATTACTATTTAAAATATGCCATATGTTATTTTATATTTTTGCAACTATAAGTTCAATTCTAAATTAACCTTCAGCTATTAAATCAATTGTGACTCAAGTGAAAAAAGGCTTACTTAAGGATGTTCGCTCTTCTTGTTTTTGAATTTTTGCCAGATATTCAGAATCCTCTGGTTTTATCCATGTAGTGCCATTGAAAATTTTTGCCCACTAACCCCTTCTTTTCTTTTCATAATTTGATTACATATAGTTTAAAATGCCATCTTTTGAAAATCTTATTAAATCCTTGTTATTTTTTCATACTTTTTGACAGAAAAAAGGTGCCAATGTTAAATATATGAAAAATCTAGAGAATTATTTCCCGCTAAATTTTCAATGGCTTATATCTCAAAAGAAAGCTCAAGGACCCTTCATTTTTTTTCTGCTTTTATAGTTCCTTTGTCTATATACTATCAATTTATAATAGTCTTTTAAAAAGCTTGTTATTTTGAAACAGAGTAGCGAACATCCTTATGTTGTCTTTAAGAAGATTTGTATAGTGTTATTTTCATAGTAAACCTTATCCAACAAACAAACTAAGATACAAACACAGACCTATATCATATAAAACAATCTGTCAAGAAAACAGAAGTACATCATAAAATTTTAATTTTCTGGTCCTGACGTAAGTGAAGTCTCAGATTCCTCTGTTATTGTCTCATATCCAGATTTGGGATTAGTCTCTGCATTCAATGTCTCTCTCTGTGCTTCTGTTAATTCTGCAATTGCTTTATAAAAGTCTGAAAAATCAACATATGGTTCAATTTTACCATCTTCATCAAGTTCTAGTTTAGCACATTGGTAAAATCGACTAGGAAACCTGGTATCTCCACTACTTTGTGTTGATGATTCTGTACTGGTACCCCCATTACTGGTATTCAATGTTGAGTCAGGTAAGGTTGATGCTAGTGTACTTGTTGTGGTTAACATGATGTCTCTAGGTGGTGACCTCTGTTTTGTAGGAGTGGGAGTTCCAGCTGGGGATTGGGAACTGCTGTGATCTGACAGTTCTATACTAATAGATGGAGTCAGCGGTAAATGACTCGGGATTCTTGCTGGAGTTGGTGGAGACAATGGATTATAAGGTCCAGTTCGGTTCGGTGAATTAATTGCATTTGCTAATGGATAATTAAAATTTCGAACCAGTAGAGTTATGTCCCCTCGTTTCTTACACAGACTCTTTATTTCTGGGGTGCCAGTCATATATGCATCATGATGCATTCTTACAACCTTGTCAACAACAGCCTGTGCAACACCATGCAGTGTGCCCTGAATTGAAAACTCTGCTGCCACCATGCGAGCCACTTCAACATTGACACGATCACACTGGATGGCATCTTGTAAAGCTTGATATAATCCATCGGACATTATAATCAAGAAACTGGAGGATTTGTCCAAAGGTATACCTCCATGAACATAAGGATCAGCAATCACTGGTTCCCTGCTTGCATCCCTGAAAAGAAGATGGAAAAGTCACTTCAGAATACTCATGATTTGTTATTAAATCAACCATATATATGTAGCTTCATAAGGCCCCCCCCCCCCCTCCAAAAAAAATCCGTTTCAGTAATCCACAGAAGTTATATAATCAAAATAGACTCAAGAGACAATTGCACTGTTTTGGGATTCATTCTCTTTTGTACAAATACTTGAATTCCGAGGTAGTCCTTTATTCTGTCAGAAATCTATGCAGTATTCAATCAACAGAATGTCGTCTGCATGAAAATACCAACTTACGGGGTATGAACCTTACAATAGATTTTCATCGGGAGGGGGACCAAATAGAAATGTTTGCATGTTTCTCACTAGGAGTCCTGGGATGTTGTGAAGTGATGAGTCACAGCTGATTCTGATGATCCCTGGAACAGTAACTCATAATGAGTCCATAAAACAGTTACCCAAATAGTTCTGAGTCCATAATACAGTTACCCAAATAGTTCTGAGTCCATAATACAGTCAGTTACCCAAATAGTTCTGAGTCCATAATACAGTTACCCAAATAGTTCTGAGTCCATAATACAGTCAGTTACCCAAATAGTTCTGAGTCCATAATACAGTTACCCAAATTGTTCTGAGTCCATACTACAGTTACCCAAATAGTTCTAATTTGTATTGTCTTATTTGAATTATTGGGATTCTTCAGTTGCCATGGTTGGAATGATCTTTTTAACTCTGGATATATCATCAAATTAACTCCCCCCCCCCTTTATCCACCTACAATCATTAACATTGTTTCCAGTGTGTTACATAATGTAATGATCAATTTCAATGCATTGATATGCAATCATTAGAAAGTTAATTGGCTGCTTTAACAACTTAATTGATAGTAAATAGGTAAACAAATTTCGATTTCTTTGGGTTTTACCCTATATGCATAAGACAGTTATGTGATTAATGCCATGCAACATTTATTTCCTATTCTCTCAAATATTTATTATAAGGCAAATTAATGAATTAAAACAAGTCAATATAAGCAAGTATTAAATCAAAAGTTGAGCAAAAAAAAACCTAGAAATCGTCCTCTCTTTGAATGATTCCATAATTGTATGACTTGGAGCTATAATATTTTTGTAGTAAAGCTAAGTCAGCTTTTAAGTTTTATCGACACCATCTTGTTTTGTTGATAGCTATGTAACATCTGTCATAGATGACCACAGATATGCTCCATTTTTCCTAGCAACATTCCAATCCTGCTTTTTTCATTTATGACTATCAATGCACCTGATGTGACAAAGTGCTTACCCTTATACCACAGGTTACTTCTATTGTTTTGCTTGGTTTGTGTTGCTCAATCTCAAGTTTTCTTTGCTGTGTTTGGCAGACTGCTTGCTTTTAAATATTTTTTCCTGTTGGCTATGGTGCCATCTGTTATTCTTTGACTTAAAGACTCTGATTTATTGACCGCTTGGTTTCTCCCCCCTTTTCCCTTTCAGTGAACCTGCTCCCAAGAAAGACATCATTTGTAAGACTATTCAAAGGGAAGTAACTTTTGTAATGAATGAGGTCAAGAACCAACCATACATACGTCAATAGGTCAATATCTTTATATCCTCCTTTCACATGATAATCTCCTAGACATCTTGTACTGTCAGAACTTCCTATCAGTCTATGTTGTTTCAGTTTCTCCATGTCTAGACCTAACAATGCCATCCTGTTACATTCCTCTTCATTGGTTAACGAGTGGTCCACTGACAACTGCATGACACGAAGCATGCCCTCTTGGTCAGTGATGCATAGCAAGGCCCTTGTATCACCTGCAATAGAATTTGAAATAGTCTGCTAAATTCTTTTCATACCCTGGATTCCTTTATATTAGTTGGATACCCATATTCCTTGATTTTGAAGATTGTGGAAAACTACAAAATTAAATTAAATTCTCAACAAAATTCAAACTTTCAGTTGACATGGTTAATACTTTGAATGGAAATATAAATGATGATACCAAAAAATTACATCAGGCCTCTACAATAACTTTTTTTTCAACTTGCCCAATAGGACAAGTACACATCAAAACTTACTTGTCCGAATGAAATTGTAACTTGTCCAAAAAAAAACTTAATATTAACCTTTTTTGCATTTTAAGTTGATTCAATGAACATAAGAATAGAATTTGATTAATATCTCTTGATATACTTTTCAAAAATATGAGTCGAGAACAACTGAATCAAGTCATGTCACAGGATTTAGGTTATAGTTTTCATCAATGCCAAAGTCTCATCAGACTCTGCACATGAGGCACAGTCTGGTAGGCCTGTCAGTCTACACTCATTTGGTTTGTATCCTGGTCTTTCATGTTGGTAAAATATTGATTATTATGATTAATGCCTTACAACAAACAGCTTTGTTTTTAATATATTAAAATGTTTATTCAAACGCAATCAAGTATTGTTTTGTCTACATATGATCAAATATGATTCTGTGAATTTTATGATATGGTCAATAATTTCTTCATTTTTTATTTTAAAAAATATTTTTGTTAAATAAAATTTATCATATTTATTATAAGCAACAGAAAAAGGTAGGGAAATGAGGTACTGGTTGGCTTGGTCCCGAAATGTCTCCTACGGTGCCATACTGTCTATTAAACATGGAAGGATTGGTTTCCGTGCCGGTGCCAAACTGTCTTGTTACCTTATCTACAAAGCGCATTCTTGATTTCATCTAAGACTGGTTTCCAGAATATTACGCGTTTTATCTGTTATAAAGTATCTGTCAAAGAACCAGTTTTAAATTATCGATTGCAAGTAAACATGGTAAACATGTCAAATTAATATTTGTTTTTATCTTTTCTTGTTTTTTGTTTATTACTCAATACTTTGTTCATCAAAGTTGGATTAAATTTATTTTCTACAAAATGATTTTACTTGTCCCGTCGGACAACTTTGATCTAGCTTTTACTTGTCCGACCTTTTTTTCCTCTGGTACCGGACAATCGGACAAGCGTTATTGTCGAGCCCTGTACATCAAAATAACAAGATGTTTACGACCACAAAAAAAAATATAAACAAATATAAATGAAACTCAGAATGCACTACTACCTTGACTTATTTTTTTTTTATATAATGGTTACCATAAATATTTGGATTCCATCATAGAGGCCTAGGTCAAAGGTCAAATTCAGATTTACCTTACTTTGATATACGACCCCCCCCCCCCCCAATGATACATCAGCATACCTAGTTTGGTTAACCTAATTAGGTCTACAGTACAAAAGTTATCAGCCAGACATGATTCAACAAGAATTTGCTTAAATAGGGGTCAAATGTCAGAGTCGAGTTTGGTATATGACACACCACTAGCCCATCCCATGATGCTTCTGCATACCATGTTTGATCAACCTAAGTTCAATGGTACAAAAGTTATGAACTGGACAAAAGGGGGATGGACCAACAGACAAACTGACGTGGTGATTCCTATATAACCCCCAGACATTGTGTACAGGGGTATCATCCGACTTTACTTTAATACCCACCTACATTGTTTACAGGGGTATCATAAGACTTTACTTTAACACCCACCTACATTGTTTACAGGGGTATCATCAGACTTTACTTTAATACCCACCTACATTGTTTACAGGGGTATCGTACAGGGGTATCATCAGACTTTACTTTAATACCCACCTACATTGTTTACAGGGGTATCGTACAGGGGTATCATAAGACTTTACTTTAATACCCGCCTACATTGTGTACAGGGGTATAGTCAGACTTTACTTTAATACCCACCTACATTGTTTACAGGGGTATCATAAGACTTTACTTTAACACCCACCTACATTGTTTACAGGGGTATCATAAGACTTTACTTTAATACCCACCTACATTGTTTACAGGGGTATCATCAGACTTTACTTTAACACCCACCTACATTGTTTACAGGGGTATCATCAGACTTTACTTTAATACCCACCTACATTGTTTACAGGGGTATCATCAGACTTTACTTTAATACCCACCTACATTGTTTACAGGGGTATCATAAGACTTTACTTTAATACCCACCTACATTGTTTACAGGGGTATCATAAGACTTTACTTTAATACCCACCTACATTGTTTACAGGGGTATCATCAGACTTTACTTTAATACCCACCTACATTGTTTACAGGGGTATCATAAGACTTTACTTTAATACCCACCTACATTAGCCACAAATAACTTATTTTTGTAGATAAGTGAGACTGTAGCAGTTGTTCCCCCTGATATTTCTTTTTCTAAGTTGTCAAGCTGTTTCATGGTGTCTGGATACTGTTTACAGGCTTCATAGTGACTGATACCCTGTAATGAAAATAACATAAAGATAAGTAGTTAACAGAACAAAGCACACAGTTTGCAAATTTTTTACAACTCTCATGAACAAAGTATATATTTTTTTTTAAAGATTTTTAAACATGCTAATTATGATATAAGATAATCTGACATTCCATCCAGTAAAAATCTTTAAATTTCTTGTTTGACAGTGAGCCCATAGTTCTTACGTAGCTTTGTATTTGAATTATATATTTCACTGACTAAAGATTGACAAAGGAGGAATTGTGAGAATTAAACAGACTAAAGGTTGACAAAGGAGGAATTGTGAGAATTAAACTGACTAAAGATTGACAAAGGAGGAATTGTGAGAATTAAACAGACTAATAGTTGACAAAGGAGGAATTGTGAGAATTAAACAGACTAAAGGTTGAAAAAGGAGGAATTGTGAGAATTAAACAGACTAAAGATTGACAAAGGAGGAATTGTGAGAATTAAACAGACTAAAGGTTGACAAAGGAGGAATTGTGAGAATTAAACAGACTAAAGATTGACAAAGGAGGAATTGTGAGAATTAAACAGACTAAAGATTGACAAAGGCGGAATTGTGAGAATTAAACTGACTAAAGGTTGACAAAGGAGGAATTGTGAGAATTAAACTGACTAAAGGTTGACAAAGTGACTAAAGATTGACAAAGGAGGAATTGTGAGAATTAAACAGACTAAAGGTTGACAAAGGAGGAATTGTGAGAATTAAACTGACTAAAGGTTGACAAAGGAGGAATTGTGAGAATTAAACAGACTAAAGGTTGACAAAGGAGGAATTGTGAGAATTAAACAGACTAAAGGTTGACAAAGGAGGAATTGTGAGAATTAAACTGACTAAAGATTGACAAAGGAGGAATTGTGAGAATTAAACAGACTAAAGGTTGACAAAGGAGGAATTGTGAGAATTAAACTGACTAAAGATTGACAAAGGAGGAATTGTGAGAATTAAACAGACTAAAGGTTGACAAAGGAGGAATTGTGAGAATTAAACAGACTAAAGGTTGAAAAAGGAGGAATTGTGAGAATTAAACAGACTAAAGATTGACAAAGGAGGAATTGTGAGATTTAAACAGACTAAAGGTTGACAAAGGAGGAATTGTGAGAATTAAACAGACTAAAGATTGACAAAGGAGGAATTGTGAGAATTAAACTGACTAAAGGTTGAAAAAGGAGAAATTGTGAGAATTAAACTGACTAAAGGTTGACAAAGTGACTAAAGATTGACAAAGGAGGAATTGTGAGAATTAAACAGACTAAAGATTGACAAAGGAGGAATTGTGAGAATTAAACAGACTAAAGGTTGACAAAGAAGGAATTGTGAGAATTAAACTGACTAAAGGTTGACAAAGGAGGAATTGTGAGAATTAAACAGACTAAAGGTTGACAAAGGAGGAATTGTGAGAATTAAACAGACTAAAGGTTGACAAAGGAGGAATTGTGAGAATTAAACTGACTAAAGATTGACAAAGGAGGAATTGTGAGAATTAAACAGACTAAAGGTTGACAAAGGAGGAATTGTGAGAATTAAACTGACTAAAGGTTGACAAAGGAGGAATTGTGAGAATTAAAATAAGTAAATGTAAGGTATCAAACCTTAAACCAATAGAAATACAAAGAATCATGAAATATTAATCAAAATATTTTACGGAAACTGAACAGTTGTAAAACCTTTTTAAATCCAACTCAGAGTTTTTTATGTACGGTAAACATGGAATATAAGCCTCATCCATATTGTTTTACTTGGTGTTTCATTAAGAAAGGCTTTACTGTAATATGCTTCTAAAACTCCTCATTATTCAAGAAATAGTTGAGGAAACCATTTTTTTATATTTCCAACTATATATATTTAAGAAAACAAGCATTCTGAGAGTATTGCATGGCAATACATAGTCCCCTACCGGTTAAAATTCATTGTACTGGAACAAAACGCTAACTTGATCTATAACTTATCATGCTGTAAACTATATAACAAATATCAAGTCAATATCTTCAAGCATGACGAAAAAAAAAAGAGAGAAAAACTGATTATTTAAGTGAATTTTTTAAGTCCAAGGACCATAACTCTGCACAAAATCATCAGACTGGAACAATATTCGAACTTGATCTGTAACTTGTCATGATAAAACTATATACCAATTATCAAATCAATATCTTCAAGCATGATAAAAAAGTGCAGAAAACTGATTATTTGAGTGAATTTTTCTAAGTCCAAGGACCATAACTCTGCACAAAATCATCAGACTGGAACAAAATTCAAACTTGATCTATAACTTGTCATGATGAAACTATTTACCAATTATCAAATCAATATCTTCAAGCATGATGAAAAAAAGTGCAGAAAACTGATTATTTGAGTGAATTTTCTAAATCCAAGGACCATAACTATGCACAAAATCATCAGACCAAAGCAAAATTCGAACTGGATCTGTAACTTGTCATGATAAAACAATATACTAAATATTAAATCAATATCTTCAAGCACTATGAAAAAAAGTGTGGAAAACTGAAATGCTGGACTGACGGATGGATAGACAGACTGACAGATTGAGTGCAAACCTAAAGTCCCCTTCAACTTCATCGGTAGGGGACTAATAAAAGAAGAATGTGTCCATGGGACACAGATGCCCCCACTTGTAAGTATGCATGAGTCAATGTACTAATTCAAACCTTACCTATTGACATTTTGTTTACTTTGAAACTTAATGACATTTGTTTCTGTATTTTGTCATTTGAGATTGCTCAGGGTTTGGATTCTCTCATTGATCAATAAAAAACAGTAACAGGGAATGTATCTATTTCACTTTTGTTCTTGCAATTCGAAATTTATCTGTTTTTGGTAGTAATACTCATTGTGTTTAAGTTTCAGGACACATTTGGTTGTGGCATAGTAAAGTTAGAGTATGGAAATGGCAAATTGGCCAATTTTTCCATTTATAAAGGGAAATAACTAGACTTATAAAGGGACATAACTCGAGAACGGCAAAAGTGACGCCACCCATATTCAAACTTGATCTGTGATTGGTGGTTATAAGCATTGTGTATAAGTTTCATAACATTTGGTTGAGGCAAAACTAATTTTGGGACGAACAGACAGACAGACTTGCAGATGTACTAACAGACAATGCTAAAACTTAATGCCCCCTCCTCCAAAACAGGGCCATAAAAATGCCATATAGTGTGGATTCCTTTATTTTTGTGGATACCAATTTTTAAGGATTAAACAAATTGATTTTTTTCCGTGGATACAAGATTTTGTTGTTTTTACAAATTCTGCATTTAAACCTAGATAGAAAGTTTTATATTATTGAAAACTTTAAATTCATGGTTCACCAGGGGGGCCATACCCAAGAAATCAATTGATACCCCACCAAACACAATGTATCCATAGTGAGAACTTTTCAATCATATCTGAAATAGATATCACTGCCTATGACAAGACTTTTGTAGAGGTCCATGAAATGTATTTTGATGGGAAAAGACAATTGCTTCTTATACCAACTCAGGTCTCAAATTTACAGTTATGCTAATGGTTATTTAGGCACAAATATTGAAAATGAACCCCTATAAAAGTTTCCTATAAAACTATTTAACAAATTGTAAGTAAACAATTTGTGTACGTGAAACAAAGATGACAGAATGTTAGACAGTACAAAACATTTGCTGTTAAACATGTTAAATTTAAATATGTGAAAGTGAACCAAAGTTGTTATTAATTTTAATCAAACATTTACCAAAATTAATTTTATGTCAGGTGACAGCATCTACATGTAAAAAAATAGTTCATTTCATTCTAGAATAACATTGAAAAATCGAATGTGCAACAGTTTTGTTGATATTTTAAGTGATTTCAGGACTTGTTGAGAAATTTCAGGACTTGTTGAGACTGGGAGAAATTCAGGATTTGTTGAAACTGGGAGTGATATCAGGATTTGTTGAGACTGGGAGTGATTTCAGGATTTGTTGAGACTAGGAGTGATTTCAGGACTTGTTGATACTGGGAGTGATTTCAGGAATTAGAATAATAAAGAAGACTGATTTAATTTTGAGACAGTAGCTGAGGGGGCAGGGCAAAATACTATCTGTGGAAATGATATGTGCCAACAATTACATAACTGCAAACCAAATAACCTTGATCTGACATTATAAGTGGTTCCCTTAAATCTTACCTAATCACAAACTTTAAGCAAATTGTTGACCCCGCGACCACCACTAACGCAGGAAACAACATGTCTAAGTCTCACTTTTTGACTCTGTCAAGGCGAGACAAAAATAAATTCTATTAAGAAACACTTCTTAAAATCTTTTTCCTCTTTTAAATATATTGCTTTTAAGTCCTTTATTATTTTTTTAAACCAAAAATCTGTAAACCATTTTTCTCGCAGGTGGTCAATTCTATTTCCATTTTGTAGAGCTAATTCAAGAATTACCTTGTCTTTAAACCAAAATTGCACAGGTAAGTCTGAGGTAAAGTCTTGAAACTAAACTTAGCTTATTCATTTGAGTGATAATGATTTTTTACATAACATCCTTTTCAGGACTATTATATTAAAATGGTTGTGGGTGGGTCAGAATGGACAACTAATATTCCCAAACAATATTTTGAAATTATTAAGAAACTAAGGTTTCAACTCCCTCAGGCAAAGTTGACTTTAGATGAATTTGGCTATTTATTTTAGGTATTTTTGTCATATAGCTCTTCAACGGTTTCGGTACTTATACATCCTTGGATTTCAAATTTTTGGCTTTGAGCGTTCCTGATGAAGGTAAATCCAGAAAAGCGCTTCGGACGCATGAAATTATTAAACGTGTTGTTTTCATTTTTTTAACATATTCTTTTTAATAATTTTACATACATAAAATAAACATACACTTTTTTATGTTCCACCACCCATAATTCATATTTTCATTTGTAACAGAAATGTTATTGTGGTGTCAAACATTTTTCCTGGAGTAGACATTATTGAAATATTTGTACCCATAAAATGATTTTTACCTCTGGTAATTGTAACTGTATTGTGGTCTTTTCAGCAAAAATATGGTCAATGGATTCAAAGAAACTCTTTTCAACAGCAATAAAGGCCTGAAAATCAGAACAAAAATCATAACTTAATGTTTAGTGCTTACATATATACCAAAATGGCAAAAACTTATACTAATGAAATGCATTACCTGTTCAAGAAACTTATTCTAATGAAAGGCATTACCTGTTCAAGAAACTTATTCTAATGAAATGTATTACCTGTTCAAGAAACTTATACTAATGAAATGTATTACCTGTTCAAGAAACTTATACTAATGAAATGTATTACCTGTTCAAGAAACCTTTACTTTACCAACTTACTAATCTGATTAAAATTAAAGAACCTTAGTGAGCATGCTCACATACCCCCACGCCCCCACATTGTCACTGGGTACACAAAATCTCATCAGGTTCCTAAGTTCAAAGACTCATAACTCCAACAAAAGTCAACTGATAAAAATTTCTTGTTGATATGCACATTTACATATTATGTCCTTATACCGGTAATCTACAAAGTTACATGAAATTCTGTTGTGTAGTTTCAGAGGAGTTGAGATGACAAACTGTTGCAGTAGTATATTGAGGCAAATAAGTGCTAAGAGGCACAACTCCTAGAAGAAAAATTGAATCATAATTTCCTGTCGATATGCACGTCTACATAGTATGTCCTTATTATCTACAAAGTTTCATGAAATTTTGTTGTGTGGTTTCAGAGCAGTTGTGATGACAAGAACAGGACTGACAGACGGACTGACAGATTGAGACGTGTCAAAAACGTTATACCCGACGCAAAAATTTGCGTGGGGTATAATAAAGATCCTGTGTCCAAGCTTTGTTTACAAGGATCTAACACTCCTTCCTACTTTCTGTTCTGATAAATTTTATATCAACCCAGGGAATTTCTGTCTCCAAATTTTTGAAAGTGTGTATCATTACGACAAAACAAGAGGCTCCTGAAGAGTTGTTAAAACAGAAAGTAGAATGGAGTTTTTTCAGATTCTTGTAAGTTTAATCAGATTGCCAATTTACTCATCAAGGGTATAATCCTGTAGAGGCTGTTTCCCTTGATGCAGATTGTCAATAACTTCATTTTTTTGGTCCTGTATAACACACTTATATAGTTTTTTTGTTATTTGATCAGTTTCTCAGTTACTGTGAGAGTTTATAGAATGATAATGAAGTTTGCATATCCAACTTTATTACTGGTAGACCTCATTATCATATTTCCATATGAGTATAAGTACAAAAAAAAACCAACAAAAAACTGTTCTTTTATCTAAACTCAAGCCTTTTATTAAATTGCTACCAACAAACACTACATTTAAAAGAACCATTGATAATTATAGTGTAATTATTACCTGATAAAGTATTTCTTTAATTTCATCATCAGTATTGTTGTTGTTCAGTTGTCCAAGAAGTAGTTCAGCTGGCATTCTCTGTGCAGCGAAGTTGGCCACTCGACTACCATCATGTCCATCAAAAACTCCATATAAAAAGCTTTCTGTATCTAGTAATCTATATTAGTTAGTAGAAAATTAAATATATTATAATATATACTGCAGCTGTGCTATTTGTGCAGTCAAATTGCATTGAACGTATAATCATTTGTGATATATATATATATATACAGTCAATGACCGTATATCGAATGTTTATGAGGTTGGCGATGGGTTTCCCTAGAGTTTTATTTATGACGTCATTAAAAGTACAAGTTCACGGAATTTTTATGTCGTTTGCTCCAAATTAAAAAAATGTTGGGTTTTTCCCCTAAATATTTAATTCGGAACAGTTGTAGGAGTTGCAGTATATAAAGAATAACCATACATTGTCGCGAAATATAAATTTTATTTGTATTCGGCTCAAAACAAGATAGAATTGCTCGGCATAGCCTCGCTTCTACCTGTTTCTAAGCCTTGTACAAATAAAATTTATATTACGAGACAATGTATGGTTATTCTATATACATATGTTTAACATGTTTAAAGATATAAAATCATGTTCTTTCTGTTTCAACAAAATATAGGTGTTTTTATTTACTCAAATATATGTACATTGTATATATAGCTAAATCAGTGTTCCACTCCCCCCCCCCCCAAATTTCATATACATGAAGCATCCTGGCATAGATATAAGAAGATGTGGTATGAGTGCCAATGAGACAACTCTCCATCCAAGTCAAAATTTATGAACGTAAACCATTATAGGTCAAAGTACGGTCTTCAACAAGGAGCCTTGGCTCACACCGAACAGTAAGCTATAAAGGGCCCCAAAAATTACTAGTGTAAAACCATTCAAATGGGAAAACCAACGGTCTAATCTATATAAAAAACGAGAAACACTTATGAACCACATCACATGCCTGGTAAATGAAGAATTTTTAAATATCATCTACTTTCTGGAAGTTATAGCATCACATCCATAATACATCTATAAGAAAATCATTAGTTGGTTAAATATCTGTCTGTATATTCCATTTTTTGTAGTATATGACCAGTCAAGGATATAACTCTCATGACTCTTTAGGCTAGGGTTATTAGAGAAAAATAACATACATTTGTTATTGTGGACTAAAAAATCAAAGAACTGTGATAACATATGTATGTTACATGTTTCAAAGGGACAATATACATCATTAGTTTTGTTAAAATGTATACAAGTTCTATTGATATTACTTTTGTCTTAATGTAATTACTTAACTATAGAAAGATATAACAGTTCATAGTTTGCCAATCATGCATAGTACACCTATGTTATTACAGAAAAAAATTGCCTATAATAACTAAAGGGTGTTATTACAGCTTCTCTACATCACTCCTAAGCTTTTGCTCAGACATTCATCATGCTTAATTACAATGAATTTTAATTTATTGTAAGAAATAATTATCAGAGCATGTAATGAGGTTCTGCGCAAGCTTCCCAGTAATTCTCAAGTCTCTCATATAACAAGTTACATGCCTTTAATAACTAAGCCTTGTTATTACAGCTAAGTTTATCCCTTACAAGCCTTGTCTCATTGATTTACCATGGTTAATGAAAAATGTATTACCGGTAATTTAATTCAAAAATTAGTTATCAAGGCTACTGGTATGCATTTATTTTCTGCGCAAAGTTTCCAGAGTTCCCTAGAGCCCACTTAAAATCAAATTATGTATGGTTTATTTTACAAATAACAAACATATGTTATTACAGATTTAGGAAATTTAAGGATTAAAGACTAGACAACTCAAGAAAGTATCTGTAATAACAAATCAAATCAAATCAAATATTTTATTGTCGTATAAACTTTACAGTTTGTGGCCAACATGTATTAGCACAATAAACATATATACATACATACATACATACAAACATAACACATGCAAGTTATTTTCTGTAATAACCCTATAGAGTTATATCCCTGACTGATGACAGGGTACTAAATCCAAATGTTATTACCTTTTAGCCACCAGCTATAACTTTGCTTCATAGTGCTTCAGTCAACACCAGCAAGACTGATTTATAAGTTAATCCTCTTTTGTGCATTTAAGTAGTACAATTGTCTACTAGCTTATCACTTTAATTTTATACAATGAGGGTTATTCTTTTAAAATAGTGTTTATTGGGGCTGTCTAGCTTTTCTGTCATTTACTAAGTCCATATTGACAAACCGATGCTTGGACCATTCAAAATATGTGTGTGAAAAAGACAAATGTGGAATCAAATATACATTTATAAAGAGTCCAGGGACAACAGCATAAGTTAACAAGAACACACATTCCAAAGTTACTTAACAGTCTCCTAGTTGTTTCGCTCCAATTGTTTCATATTTTGTCATCGTCAGGGCATTTTACAGCTGACTATATGGTATGGATTTTCCTCATTGTTGAAGGCCATATAGTGACATATAATTGCTTAAATCCATGTTTTTTTTACTCAGTTGTGTAGTTGCAATTGTCTCATTGGCGATGATATCACATCTCCTTATTTTATAGCCACTTACTCTAACAATGGGTAAGTCCCATATAATGCATGACAAACTTAAAAAATCTTTCATATACATACATGCAGTAAATGGCTGATTTTTTCATATGTATACATTTCTTTCATTCTAACCAATCATTGACAATCAAACATTTTAATTTTGTTTTATGTATTTATTTTGTTTTGTTATGAATGATTACTTTGCTCAGCAATGGGTGCCATAATTGGCTTATATAACACATGTATAATATCTTTTATTCCATATTTTCAGTAGGTTTTTCTATATGAATTTGATTTTGAACAAATTAGCATAATCACCTGCAGAAAAAGTATATTCACAACTCAAAATGTTGCTTGCTTTTACATGTACATGTATAATTATGTTAAAATCGATTGATGTACAATTGGTTTTGGTAAATAATTGTCATTACATACATTTCTCTCAGAAATCTCTCTGAATACGGAATAAAAAAATTACTGTTCTCTGAATACGGAATAAAACAATTACTGTCTTTTGTTTCGGTAAATATGTGGTTTAATTGACTTTTGAAAAACGGATATTCACTTTGGCTGTTGGCCTCAGTGAATAATAGTTTTATTACAAAACATGCAAAAGTCAATAAAACCACATATTTACCTCTGACATAAAAAAAAAGTAATTGTATGGTATCTTATATATACTTTATAACTTTCCCCTGATTTGGAACGCCAAAGATGTAACTGAGGGATGTAATTCTTTATTCTAAAATAAAAGGTGATTGTAAGTAAAAGCCTTACATGTAGGTGAATAATGTTAGTTTTTCTAATTGTTGCACAGTACAATAAAAATCTGACTATTTAATTTTCTTAATAAGAACCTTCATCAACTGCAATACAGAGTGATTAAAGCTACACATGTACATGTATACCAGGGATTAAAGCTACACATGTACATGTATACCAGGGATTAAAGCTACACATGTACATGTATACCAGGGATTAAAGCTACACATGTGCATGTATACCAGGAAGTAAAGCTATACATGTACATGTATACCACGTCTGGAAAAATCAGCTAAGTAATACCTAAAATGAAAACTTCTATCTTCAAATTCATGTTCTTCTTGTCTGAAACCGTCTTCTCTGTACAGTTGATTTGTTGAGAATCCAACCCCAGAAAGCTGACAAACAGGCAAGTCATCAGTCCAGCTCAATGCATGACTCTGAAAAACATAAAACAGAAAAGCTGACAAACAGGCAAGCCATCAGTTCAGCTCAATGCGTGATTTTGAAAAATATAATACAGACAATTTGTTAGGAAAAACCTAAGTGACATAAGAATATTATTATACATGTGTGTTATATAAACAACGAATGTAAATTAGAAGAAAAAGGCTCTAATCAGACAATTACATACATGTAGATGCCTTTTATAGGCGACCTAAAGGTATGAGTTTTTCTCATTGTTGAAGGCAGTATGGTTGCCTATAATTGCTTACATCCACTTCATTTGAACTTTGTTGGATAGTTGTCTTATTGGGAATCATACCACATCTCCTTATTTTTATATCAACAAATAACAGGATTTTTTTCAGAAATTATTTTTTTGTTTGTTTTCACTATGTCCAGATGTCTTATGTCTTTTAATTTCTCATTCTTAAGTGAATATGTGATTTTAGAATTTAATAAAACAAATTGGGCAAAGGAAGATACTTTCTATAGCTCAATCAATCTGTATGTGAAAATTTTCAAAAAATAATTGAAGTTAAATTGTTGCCGAGTAACATGAATGTTTTTCATTAGAATAAAAAGGGAGGAAGATTTTGTAAATCCTTATTCTTGCATTAATTATATAATCAAAGAAATCAGAATTGTAATTTATAAAAAATAGCAAGATATACAAGATGTATAACTATATTGTTAACATGCCCTCCCCCCCCCCCCCCCCATATTTAAAAAAAATCCAAAATTAAGTGCACCTTCAAATAAATTAAAGGGGGAACCCTGAATAGTTGACACGAGTACAATAATCGGGATAGTTGGCAGATCTGCCAGGTGCCGATTTAACCAGGTACCGAAGTGACAATTAATTCGTGTTGGGATCTGAAAGGAGATTGTGTCCAGAGCCCTTCCTCTTCCACATACAGAAAGGATCAAATATCCGTAATATCTTATTTTTCTAAAAGTGATACCGTACCCCTAATCTAGGAGGAGACCCAACAGATCCATTTGCAAGTCTAGTTGCAGCCATATCACGATAAAGTTGGTTATGAAAATGGATTTCTACATTTTTTTAACCGGAAGTTGTTATCATTCGGAATTTTTTCATAGGTGTTGCAAAAACCTAAAACATTGCCCCGATGTCAAATTACTGATAAAAACCGATATATAAAATTTAGCAAGGTATCATCGCAACGACCATCAATGAGTATCCAATTCTCTAAGCGTCTTTTTGTTCATTTAACTGACAGCGTTAAGAATGTACTTAGATGAAATTTAAAAAATCTCGAATTTAAAATTGATACTATAAGTCAGAAGAGCTATATAAGCTATAGAATAGACTTAGGTGTAAAGGT